GCCTGCTGCGCGCGCTGAAAGACGCACGGTGGAAACCAACAGCGCAAGCCAAAAGTGGTAATTCCAAAAACCAAGAGGGGTATGCGAAACAATCATGCGCTCTCGCATGCCAACGTCCAGCCTGCGCACGTCGCTGGCGACCAGAATGCGACATGGCAACACGACACGTCGGAAATACCCGCCAGCGCCGCGCGACTCTGATATCTTCTGGCCACCCGCTGTCTGTAACTGCTTTGACAAGATTGGTGCGCCAAGGAAACGAATCCGCACTTCGGAAGATGCAATCTGAGCGATGACACCTTCTACAGCACTAACACGGAAAACTGCCTTGAGCATGAATGCACGTGCAAGCAGCAGTGACAAGCGACAGCAACCTCATGGAGCACCCCTCCAAAAAATGAAGCATAGCACCAACACAAAGAAGCCGTGTCGCCCTAATCAACTGTCGCCGCAAACTTGCTCTGGGCAAGCTCCGCTACTGAGACACTCATAATGCACATTTTTTGTCGGCAGCAATCGTGTGCGGCAGAAAGCCCTGGCAGCGCCAGCAACTTCAAGGACGCCAGGGAAAAAAATCCGCCTGCGCCGCACAGACCGGAAGGTCCAGGAGCTGTGGAATGCAGAGCCAGTCGGCGACGTTTCGGAAAGATCCGCCTGCGCCGCACAGACCGCCCGCCGTCCATCACAGCTTCAGCTTTCCAAAGAAGTCCACCAAGTCATCGTCAAGCGGGAAGCCATTAGCTCCATCTAGCGCCCATTCTTCTGCGCCCTTGCCGCAAGAGGTGCAGCCAACATCGACGTCCGGCGAGTCAGCAAAGAAGCGCAAGCATGTCAGGCAGCGATCCTCCGCTGCGTACAAGAACAAGTACTCCCTCATCTTCTTGGCCGTCTTTTGGCCGTGCTACTTGAAGAACTTCTTGCAGTGTGGAGCGTGAAAGCAAGGTCCCACATCCACCGGAGGATGCGGCGCAGCCTTGGGCGCAGAAGTAGAGGATGCCGACTTGGAAGCAGGCTTTGCCGATGGAAAGCGACCAGTTTGCCGGTATCCCCATGGATCCTCTTCGCCAGCAGCACGCGGCTCTTCACGGCGGGAAGAGGCAGCAGACGACTGGTCTCCTTGACGAAAATCACGGAAGTCGTCCCAGGCTGCCAGGACAGCTCTCACTCGCTCCGGATCCACCTGCGGCGCGCAGCTGTTGGCCTGCTTGTCAGGATGGTTCTGGCGAAGCCACTGGAAGTACTTCTTCTTCACGTCTGCGAAAGGCACCGTGAAAGCATCCACGTTCTCAAAACCCAGCTCTGACAACAAAGAACCGAAAGGAGCCATGGCTGCAAATGATGCGATGTATCTTTTTTCTACAACTCGATAAATCAGGTCGGGAAGCCGTGTCGCCCTAATCAACTGTCGACGCAAACATTCTCTGGGCAAGCTCCGCTACTGAGACACTCATGACATCCAAGCTTCGGCTACTATTGCTCTTGTCAGCTGCCTATCACTCCAAAATCCAACTGCGCATGCTTATTGGACAAGCCAATTACAAAAGCCAACTGCCCAATCTTACTTCACAAGCCAATGACAACTGCCAACTGCCCAATCTCACTTCACAAGCCAAATGCACTCTCCCAAAACACAAGCCAAATTTTCGAGTGTTACTTCACTATCCTAAAGCGCAAGCTAACTTCTCGGGCG